TATTTTTGCTCTCCATTTGGTTGGTAAATCTTTCTCCATCCCTTTGCTTTGAGCCTTTGTGTATCCTTGCATGTGAAACAGGTCTGGATGTAACATGCCGTTGGGTTTTGGCTGTGTCTTTTGATTGGGGGATTTAGTCGATTTAAATTTAGGGTTACTGCCATTTGATGTTGACTGGCTGTTTTATCCATTCGTTGGTGTAAATTCTTCTTTATGTTGGTGCTCTTTACTTTTTGGTATATTTTTAGTAAGGCTAATACTGGTTGTTTCTTTCTGTGTGTAATGCTTCTTTCAGAAGCTCTTGCAAAGCAGGCCTGGTGGTAATAAAATCTCTGAGTTCTTGCTTGTTAATAAAAGATTTTATTTTTCCTTCAGTTGTGAAGCTTAGTTTGGCTGGATATGAAATTCTGGGCTGAAGGTTCTGTTCTTTGAGGTTGTTGAATATTGGCCCCCACTCTCTTCTGGCTTGTAGAGTTTCTGCCGAGAGATCTGCTGTAAGTCTGATAGGCTTGCCTTTGTGGGTAACCTGACCTTTCTCTCTGGCAGCCCTTAGTATTTTCTCCTTCATTTCAACCCTGGTGAATCTAACAATTATGTGCCTTGGGGTTGCTCTTCTTGAGGAATATCTTTGTGGTGTTCTCTGTATTACCTGGGGTTGAATATTGACCTGCTTTGCTAGTTTAGGAAAGTTTTCCTGAATAATATCCTGAAAAAATATTTTCCAGCTTGGATTCATTCTCTCCGTCACATTCAGGTACACCTATCAAACATAAATTTGGTCTTTTCACATAGTCCCACATTTCTTGGAGACTTTGCTCATTCCTTTTTATCCTTTTTTCTCTAATCTTTTCTTCATGTTTTATTTCATTAAGTTGGACTTTGACCTCTGTTATCCTTTCTTCTGCTTGAACAATTTGAGTGTTTAAACCTGTGCATACTTCTCGGAGTTCCTGTATTGTATTATTCAGTTCCATTAATTCACTTATATTCCTCTCTAAGTTGTCTATTCCCAATAGGATTTCGTCAAACCTTTTTTCAAAGTTCCTAGTTTCTTTACATTGGGCTACAACATGTTCTTTTAACTCACAGAAGTTTCTTATTATCCATTCCTTGAAGCGTGATTCTGTCATTGGGATGCGCTCGTTCTCCATCAAGCCTTGTTCCCTTGTTGATGTGGAACTGTGATCATCTTTAGAGGGAGAGGCGTTCTGACTTTGAGTATTCTCAGCCTTTTTACGCTGGTTTCTTCCCATCATTGTAAATTTATCCTCCTGTCGTCTTTCAAATTGCCAACTTTCAGATTAGGTCTCTTGATTGGACGTCCAAGTTGTTAGTTTCCAGGGCCAGAACAGCAGCGTTAAGACTTATGGTGCTTTTCTGCCCAGGATTCTCCTGTCTGGCTTCCTTCTTGTGTCCGTAGTAGGCGACTCTGCCTTCCCTGGGCTCCAAACCTCGGTCAGAAGGGGAACCAGTCCCGTTTACTCTGCTCCGAGAGCTGCTGTGCTGAGGTGCCGTCACAGCTGCTGCACCCGTCTCAGGAGTCGCGCTGGGGACCCGTGTGGTTCCTCCACTGGGGATCTTCTGCTCCGTGAGCGACCAGAATTTGTCTGAAAGTGTGGCGTCCTCTAGTTCTCTGCGCTTTGACTGAGAGCTGCAATCCCGAGCTGTTATCGATCGGCCATCTTGGATCGTTCCCTCTTCTTGTGTTTTCTGGAGGATTTTTACATCTAAAGTCATAAGAGACCTTGGTCTGTAGTTTTGTTTTCTTGTGATATCTTTGATTTTGGTCTCAGGATGATACTGCCTTGTGGAATGAATTGGAAAGCATTCCTTTTTCTTTTATTTTTGTGGAGTTTGTGGAAAATTAGTATTCTTCTTCTTCCCCACCCCCCCAAGATGTAGTCTTACTCTGTTGCCCAGGCTGGAGTGCAGTGGCATGATCTTCACTCACTACAACCTCTCCCTCCCGGGTTCAGGTAATTCTCCTGCCTCAGCCTCCTGAGTAGTTGGGACTACAGGCACGGGCCACTACGCCTAGCTAATATTTGTAATTTTAGTAGAGATGGGGTTTCACCACCAGGCAGGTCTGGAACTTCTGACCTCATGATCCACCCACATTGGTCTCCCAAAGTGTTGGGATTACAGGTGTGAGCCACTGTGCCTGGCCAATATTCTTCTTTAAATGTTTAGTAGAATTCACCAGTGAAGGCATCTGGTCCTTGGCTTTTCTTTGTGGAATATTTTTAAATGACCAATTCAAATTCTCTTCTTTTTACAGGCCAGTTCAAATGCTCTGTTTCTTCTTTAGTAAGTTTTGGTCATTTGTATCTTTGTAGAAATTTTTCTGTTTTATTGACGTTATCTAACTTGTTAATATGCTATTGTTCGTAGAATTATCTTCTGCTCTTTTTTTTTTTTGAGACAGAGTTCCACTCTGTCTCCCAGGCTGGAGTACAGTGGCATGATTTCGGCTCACTGCAACTACCTTTCAGGTTCAAGTGATTCTCCTGCCTCAGCTTCCTGAGTAGATGGGATTATAGGCACACACCACCATTCCTGGATAATTTTCACCATGTTTGCCAGACTGGTCTCAAACTCCTGACCTCAAGTGAGCCACCCATCTCGGCCTTCCAAAGCTGGGATTACAGGCATGAGCCACTGTGCCTGACCTTTTATGCTCATTTTTATTTCTATAGGGCTGGTACTGATGTCATCTCTTTCATTCTCAATTTTAGGAATTTGAGCTTTTTCTCTTATTTTTCTTTATTAATTTAGCTAAAGATTTGTTCTCCATGGCACATTACCTGGAAAACAGTTTTTAAAAAAATGCAAATAAAGATTTGTCAATTTTGTTGATCTTTTCAATGACTGATGTTTTCTTAGGTGTTCATTTAAAAAAATTATACCATTCAGGGTGTTAACATTGTTTGTGGCAAAATAAAAATTATACCATATAGGCTGGGCATGGTGGCTCATGCCTGTAATCCCAGCACTTTGGGAGGTTAAGGTGGATGGATCACAAGGTCAGGAGTTTGAGACCAGCCTGGTCAATATGCTGAAACTCCATCTCTGCTACAAACGCAAACATTAGCTGGGCGTGGTGGTACCCGACTGTAGTCCCAGCTACTTGGGAGGCTGAGGCAGGAGAATCACTTGAACCTGGGAGGCAGAGGTTGCAGTGAGCCGAGATCGCACCACTGCACTCAAGCCTGGGCAACAGAGTAAGATTCTGTCTCAAAAAAATAATAATTATATCATATAAGTTACATGTATGTTACATATAATCTGTTGTACATATCAAATGTTGCAGAGTAAAATTGGAAATAAGGGAAAAAGGAGTCACGGGACAGTTAATTGTCTAAAGAAACTTACTAGGACCGTAGTCCCTAAATTTGGCTTTCACACTAAATTTTCCTATTCAGATAGACTAATTTCTAAATTCTTGATGCTTCTGTCTTTAAAATGAAGGGAATATCTTCTCCCAGGCAGGGAAGTGGTTGATTCACTGTCAGTCCTTAGGTGCAAGGTGATCACGTGTCGTGTTCGTGCCAGTGCTTCTGATGTTTTCATTGCCAGTACTGACAAATTTGACACAGTGTTAGGGCTGCCTTAACAAAGTCCCACAAGCTGGGTGGCTTAAAGCCACAGAAATCTGTTCCTTCACAGAAGTTGAAATCAAGGTGTTAACAGGGCCACGCTCCCAGTGAAACTGTTGAGAAGAACAGAGTCCTTCTTAGCCCCTTCCAGCTGCTGGTGGTACCAGCAGTCCTTAGCATTCCTTGGCTTAAGGCTACATCACTCTGATCCCTGCCTTCCATGGTCACCTTCTGTCTCTCTCTCTCTTTTTTTTTTTTTTGTTTGTGATGAAGTGTCACTCTTGTCACTCAGGATGGAGTGCAGTAGCATTATTTCAGCTCATTGCAACCTCCACCTCCCAGGTTCAAGCAATTCTCCTGTCTCAGCCTCTCAAGTAGCTGAGATTACAGGTGCCCATCACCATGACTGCATAATTTTTGTATTTTTAGTAGAGACAGAGTTTCACCATTTTGGCCAGGCAGGTCTCCAACTTCTGACCTCAGGTGATCCACCCACCTCAGCCTCCCAAAGTGCTGGGATTACAGGTGTGAGCCACTGCGCCTGAGCACTCTCTCCTCTTCTTAAAATGATGCCTGCCATACTGGAGTAAAGGCCCACCTACTCCACCCAGCATGACCTCATCGTAACAAATCCTGTCTGCACTGACCCTCTTTTTAACAAGATCATATTCTGAAGTCCTGGGGGTTAGGACTTCAACCCATGACAGACATGTTTTGTTTTGTTTTGTTTTTTGAGATGGAGTTTCGCTCTTGTTACCCAGGCTGGAGTGCAATGGCACAATCTCGGCTCACCGCAACCTCCCCCTCCTGGGTTCAGGCAATTCTCCTGCCTCATCCTCCTGAGTAACTGGGATTACAGGCACGTGCCACCATGCCCAGCTAATTTTTTGCATTATTAGTAGAGACGGGGTTTCACCATGTTGACCAGGATGGTCTCGATCTCTCAACCTCGTGATCCACCCGCCTCGGCCTCCCAAAGTGCTGGGATTACAGGCTTGAGCCACCACGCCCGGCCGACATGTTCTAAGCTAACCATGAACATCTGTCTGTCTTTATTTTTTTTCTTTTCTTTTCTTTTTTTTTGATGGCAGAGTCTTGTTTTGTCACCCAGGCTGGAGTTCAGTGGCATGATCTTGGCTCACCGCAACCTCAACTTCCAGGGTTCAAGCAATTCTCATACTGTGCCTGGCTAATTTTTATATTTTTAGTAGATACGGGGTTTCACCATGTTGGCCAGGCTGGTCTTGAACTCCTGGCCTTAAGTGATCTGTCGGCCGCAGCCTCCCAAAGTGCTAGGATTACAGGTGTGAGCCACCGCACCAGCCCTACTTTCTGATTTTTCGAAATCTATCCCAGTGCCTTTTCTATTTACTGTGGTCTTTGTTTTAAATATATTTCCCCTAGATTGATGATATATTTAACGAAATCAGATTTGGGGAGTATGTGGACACTGGAAAGCTAATCGACAAGATCAACTTACCAGATTTCCTCAGAGTGTACCTTAACCACAGGCCACCTTTTGGTAACACCTTGAGTGGCATCCACAAGAGTTTTGAGGTGCTCGGTTATACCAACTCCAAAGGGGAAAAGGCCATTCGAAGAGAGGACTTCCTGAGACTGCTCGTTACCAAAGGTAAGCACGTACACCGGGATGTCTGGGGACATCCTGCAGCCGTTCCCCGTGTAGAGAACGGAGTGTGGGGAGCCAGCCCCTGTGGGAGCTCCATCTTTCATAAAGGAGGTGATTTGACTGGATTTGAGCCATGAATGATCTGGCTGACTCACCTGCATCCCTGACAAGTACAAGGTAACAGGAGGGACCCAGAGCTAAAAGGCAGAAGAATGCGATTCGTGTTGCAGCTTCCTGAACCTCAGCAAGACTCAGTGTCCTCACTTGTAAAATGGGAATAAAAACGCCAGCTGACCCATCTCACAGGGTGTCATAAGATTTGTGTTGATCTGGGCATGGTGGCTCACACCTCTAATCCCAGAACTTTGGGAGGCCGAGGCGGGTGGATCATCTGACGTCAGGAATTCAAGGCCAGCCTGACCTACATGGTGAAATGCCATCTCTACTAAAAATACAAAAAATTAAATGGGCGTGGTGGCAGGCACCTCTAATCCCAGCTACTTGGGAAGCTGAGGCAGGAGAATCACTTGAACCTGGGAGGCAGAGGTTTCAGTGAGCCAAGATTGTGCCATTACACTTCAGCCTGGGTGACAGAGCAAGACTCTGTCAAAAAAAAAAGAAAAAAAAAGAGTTGGATTGCATTTGTGGAATGTGACCAGACCAAAGTAAACTCTTTCATTTTTACCTACTGTGTTTCTCATGATTGTCCATGAGGATGTCGAGTAAACTCTCTCTGGATGCCATTTTCATCCTAGTCCAACTGGGTGGTCCTGATAAGAAGGAATTTGAAATGAAGTCGAGCCTGGTCTCAGCAGCATGCTGCCTTATTTCTCTATGCCAGACTCACATATTTTCCCTGCCTGGAGGACCCTGTTTAACACCATTAAGGAAGTATACGTGACAGTACTATGGGACTCTAGATTGTCTTTGTGTCTAAAGAAAAAGGGCTCACACCTGTCATCCCAGCACTTTGGGAGGCTGAGGCAGGAAGATCACTTGAGCCCAGGAGTTCAAGACCAGCCTGGCTAGCATAGTAAGACTTCATATCCACCAAATTGTTCTTTTCTGAAACAGAGTCATGCTGTGTTGCCAGGCTGGAGTGCGGTGGCATGATCTCGGCTCACTGCAACCTCCACCTCCAGGGTTCAAGCAGTTTTCCTTTCTCAGCCTCCCGAGTAGCCACCACACCCAGCTAATTTTTGTATTTTTAGTAGAGACAGGGTTTCACCATGTTGGCCAGGCTGGTCTCAAACTCCTGACCTCAAGTGAACCACCCGCCTTGGACTCCCAAAATGCTTGGATTACAGGCATGCGCCATCTCATCCAGCCTAAAAAAAATTTTTTTTTAATTGTATAAAAGAAAAAAAAAGTGGGATGATTCTCCTTAAGCCCTCTGAACAATAACCCTAAGCCCTGACAGTATGCTTAGCCCCAAGAGCTAAGCAACTACCTTCTTACTCTATGACACACAGGTGAGCACATGACGGAGGAGGAGATGTTGGATTGCTTTGCTTCGCTGTTCGGCCTGAATCCTGAGGGATGGAAATCCGAGCCTGCAGCCTCCTCTGTCAAAGGTACCCTGGCTGGCTTTGTCTGGGCATGTAGCCGTGCCTCACTAATTTGTTGTAGACTTAAGCACGTTTATTTCTCTTGATTGGTGTGAGCCACTCTCCCTAAGACTGTGCACGTAACAAAGTAAGTCTGTTGGGAATCACACATGAGTAAGTTACGGAAAGACCAGCGCATGGTGGCCACGCTGAAGAGATGAAGCCTTTGCTCCTGCGCTGCGTCCGTCCTTTGTTGAGCGTGGGCTTGTTTTCCCTTCGTTCCACTGACTTGTCATCTTGCCAGCTTGGGTGGGTGAAGGTTGGCCACCAGCAGAGGATCCAGTTTGGCAGCTGTTTCAGAAGAAGAGGTATGCTGGGAAAGACTTGGGGGCCAGCACTTTGGGGAGAGGAGGCAGGAGAATCGCTTGAGCCTCAGAATCTGAGAGAGGCCTGGGCAACATAGCGAGATCCCATCTCTACAAAAAATAAAACAGGCTGGGCACAGTGGCTCACACCTGTAATCCCAACACTTTGGGAGGTCAAGGCGGGTAGATCACTTGAAGTCAGAAGTTTGAGACCAGCCTGACCAACATTGTGAAATCCCATCTCTACTAAAAATACGAAACTTAGCCAAGCATGGTGGTGCATGCCTCTCCTGAGGCAGGAGAATTACTTGAACCCAGGAGTTGGAGGTTACAGTGAGCCGAGATCACACCATTGCATTACAACCTGGGCAGCAAGAGCAAAATGCCATCTCAAAATAAATAAATAAATAAAATTATCTGGGCAGACTGGTACATGCTTTTAGTCCCAGCTACTCAGGAGGCTTAAGTGGGAGGATGACTTGGGCCCAGGAGTTCATCGTTGTGGTGAATTAGGGTCGTGCCACTGTATTCCAGCCTGGGCAACAGAGTGAGAACCTGTCTCAATTTTTTAAAAAGAAGAGAAGGATTTGGAGAAGGAGAGAGCAACAACTTGGTGGGCAGTACAAGCTCAGCTGCAAGCTGCCAAAACTTTCAAGTTTTTTTTTTTGAGACGGAGTCTGGCTCTGTCGCCCAGGCTGGAGTGCAGTGGCGCAATCTCGGCTCACTGCCACTTCTGCCTCCTGGGTTCAAGCGATTCTCCTGCCTCAGCCTCCCAAATAGCTGGGACTACAGGTGTGTGCCACCACGCCCAGCTAATTTTTTTGTATTTTTAGCGGAGATGGGGTTTCACCATGTTAACCAGGATGGTCTCAGTCTCCTAACCTCGTGATCTGCCCACCTCAGCCTCCCATAGTGCTGAGATTACAGGCGTGAGCCACCATGTAGGCCAATTTTCAGGTTTTAAAAGGTCATCCTCCTCTCCCTTCCTGCTATAGCCTAAGTATTTTTCACCTTCTTTTAGTGCACTGGGCCTGAAGTTAGGGTTGTGACTTTCAGCTCGGAAGGAACCAAGCTAAACGGCTCTTCCAGGCTCGCGGGTGCAGGAGCAGCTCTGCTGATAAGCCCAGGGGTGGTCAGATCCCACCACCATCACTAAGACTGAGGAGGGCGCAAAGGCCCCTCACCCATTCCCCTTTTCATTCCCCACATCAAAGTAAACAGTCCCTGAACTCAGATAATTGCAGACTCTAGTATAACGGGTCATTCCCAAGCTGCAAGCTCTCCTACCCCATTCCTTTATGTACTTCGGATCTCAGAATGTGCCTTTCCCAATTGTTACATATTTATGCTGTGTTCCCAGGTACCTTGAAACAGAAAAATCAATCATACCATGTAGTTAAGGCTTTCCAGAGAGGTTTGCAGAGATTTGGTTAACACTGTTCTATTCTGCAAAGGAGAGATTTTTAACCAATTTTCACCCAGAGGTTTTCAAGGAATCAAAGCCACATCACAGCACAAAGCACCTCTTGTTTTTGTTTAGTAGCATTTCCTTGTGTTTTTGGAAAATCCTTCTGAGTTAGAAATATAATCATTGTGGCCAGGGGTGGTAGCTGTAATCCCAGCACTTTGGGAGTCTGAGGTGGGAGGATCACTTGAAGCCAGCAGTTTGAGACCAGCCTGGGCAACATAGCAAGATCCCATCTATACAAAAAAAATTTTTTTAATGAGCTGGGTGTGGTGGTATGTGCCTGTAGTTCCCGCTACTCGGGAGGCTGAGGTGAGAGTCTCACTTGATCCCAGTAGATCAAGGTTGCAATGAGCTATGACTGCTCACTGCACTCCAGCCTAGGCAACAGAGCAAGACCTGGTCTCATACCCCTTCCCCAGCCGAAAAAAGAAAGAAACATAATTATCATGAAGGCATTTGGTGTTCTTTTCTTGTTTTGGCTAGGTTCAGAAATTTGCCTTGAAGAAGAACTTCCAGACGAAATCACTGCAGAAATATTCGCAACTGAAATTCTTGGCTTAACCATTTCAGAAGATTCCGGCCAGGATGGTCAGTGAAGTTATTGGGAGCGTTTACAGCACAAAGGACTTTGGATGTGTGTGGACGCACGTGTTATGTTGTTCACGAGGCACTGCTCTTTATGTATTTCCCTCCCCCCGCCATCTTTAGAACACTTAGACATTAAAGCAAATTTCTGGTGAGCAATGGAATTCACAAAGTTGGACATTCCACTGTTTCTGAAATAGAAAAGTGGGCGGAGGCAAGAAAAACCCTGGCAGCTGGATATACTTGGTGGCTGGATCCCTGGGTCTCCAGCGATGCCGCCTGTGTGGGGTTGCACGGAATATGGAGGGGCGTGGTCTAAGGGCAGAGGGGTCCTCAGCTGGCAGCAGGTCTGCCTCGCAACCCATATGGTCCACGGAAATGATGATCCATGGCCTCATCCCCTTTACTTGCCGGGCCGCCTGGACCCTCCACCCAGTGTGGCCCAGTGTGGATCACCCCTGCCTGTTGTGGGGTGGGGTGGGGGTGCCGGGTGCGCCAGGCTCCTGAGAGTCCCGGATTGTGGCTTCTTATCAGCAAAACACCCAAACGGCAGTGTGTGGCCGTTATAAAGAGCATCACTAGCCATGCGTAACCCCAGTGGCAGCTGCCAGGAAAATGCAGAAGCCCCTCTGAGCACCCCCCCGAATCCGTTCATGCTGCACCTGGGCCAGAAACCACAGAACAGTCCCACCCAGCAGAGAGGCTGGGGCCCCCCTCGCACTCACACTCACCAGTGCGGTGGCTTGGCCACCTCACACTCCGCTGGGCCGCAAAACATGTAGTAGGCAAAAATAGGGGCCGGTTCCCCAGCTCTGGGACATTTAGGGGACGTTACTAAGTTTATAGCAGTATTTTGGCCTTGAAAATAGCATAGCATTGTAATGTGAACAGATGAGAGTTCCAGGCTGACTTTAGAATTTTGTCACCCATTCTGAGGTCTCATTCAGGCAAAGGTGCCAGATGTCATTCTCGAACACGCTCTGCCCAGCACACTCCCCAGACCCGCTTCTGCCCCAGAGAAACCAGCATATCTGAGACAACATTTCGGATCCACTTAAAATGGCTTTCTCTGAAGGCACATTCTGCGGCAGAGAAACAGAATGACAACCACGTCGTTACTCATACACGAAGGCCCCTCCACTACGTGGGGTCCAGCTGGAAATCTGGCACAGTGAGTCTTTGGAATGCCCCGGAACATGTAACGGAACTGTCTACCCCAACCCAGGCTGTGTCACTGTGACCTTGGGGCAGACAGCACGGGCCAAGGTGCTGCCGGTGCCAGCTTGTCACACCATGTCACCAGGGCTTTGCAACCTAGTTTACATTTTGTTCTTTTTAAAATACATGAAAAGAAAAACAAGCTTTATGAATCAATTTTGCAGCTGCTGAGGGCTTAGGAGATCTAGTATCAAGCCAGTTAAAAAGTTCCTGGGGACATTTTAGGGAACAAGAAACTCTCAAATGATTTGTTCTCTTCAAAAAACAACTCAGAATTAGATGTGGTCTGGACATCAACTGGGGGCTTTGTTCGTTAAATCTGGCGCCCTCTGATTTGGTTCCGATTGACGGCAAGTACTGCCATTGTCTTGAGCAGAACCGACCTGTGGTCAGTTGGACCCACTGTGGCGGGTGGGCTCAGTAAGCTGGGACACTGCCCGGGGTAGGCGGATTGCTCTCTCTCTGCCTATCCAGCTTTAGCGTCTCCTCTGGAGTCAGGAGGGGAAGGTGGAGTCCTGGTTACGGATCATGGTTATAGTTATGTTCACCAAGGAGACCAAAAACCATGGACAGCAGGATCGGCATGAATGGCATTCCCGCCCCACACCCAGCCTGGCCTGCCGGGGGACTCTTCTTACCTGGGGTCCTCTTTCTACAGGTGTTTGTGGGGTATTTTGGTTTTTGTTTTTTTGAGACTGAGTCTTGCTCTGCCACCCAGGCCGTAGTGGCACAGTCCCAGCTCACTGTCACCTCCGCCTCCCGGGTTCAAGTGAGTCACATGCCTCAGCCTTCCGTGTATCTGGGATTGCAGGAATGTGGCACCAGCCACCATGCCCAGCTAATTTTTTTTTTTTTTTTTTTGAGATGGAATCTCATTCTGTTGCCCAGGCTGGAGTGCAGTGGTGTGATCTCCGCTCACTGCAACATCAGCCTCCCGAGTTCAAGTGATTCTCTGGCCTCAGTCTCCCAAGTAGCTGGGATTACAGGCATGCACCACCATACCTGGCTAATTTTTGTATTTTTAGTAGAGATGGGATTTCACCCTGTTGGCCAGGCTGTTCTCGAACTCCTGACCTCAGGTGATCCACCCATCTCAGCCTCCAAAGTGCTGGGAGTACAGGCATGAGCCACCGTGCCTGGCCAAGGTGCTTGTGTTTTATTGTCTCCCAACTTCCTTGACAAAGGCAGGGCAGCCCCTTTCAGCCCCAGGAGGGCCTCTTCACCTCCCATCAGAGCAGGCCCAGCCTGGTGGCCACACAGGTGAGAAAAGGGAGGCCCTAGCAGCCCGGTGCCATCAGCAGGAAAGAGGGCACAGCAAAGAGAGCTCAGGCTCCTGGCAGTGGGGGCGACAAGGCAGCGACAGCAGGATGGGACAGCAAAGGAAACAGCATCGTGGAGCTCCCGCGTGTGCACACTTAGGGACTAAACGCAGAATATCTGAAACACACTGTGATGCTCCTTTGCAGAAAGATTCCTGTGCGTTCCACACAGGGCCTGTGGCCGGCTGACTCTCGCATCCTGGTTTGTGCGTTCTGGATCAGGAACCACCAAGAGCCTCCCCAGTGCCAGCTCTCTGCTCCAGACCCCCAGTCCCACCTGCAGGCGAGGGCCTTGCCCGCACAGCGTTCTGTGCCAGGAGCCCACCGATTTGCCGCCCTCCTGTTCAGCTTCTGCAACTTTCTAGCCACCTATGCGCCCTTGGGTGTGGCTAAGCTCTTAGACCTCAGTTTCCTCCCGGAGCAACTCCTGCGGTGGCGGTGCGGATGAGAAGAGACGGTGCAAGTAAAGTGTTATTGGCACAGGGTAGAGCTCCAAATGCGACAGCAGCTATTACTGTCACAGCAGAAACTGGGCCTGAGAATCAGGAAGACATTTGGTGCAAATTAACCTCTCTCAGTCCCAGAGTTTGAGCAAGAGTTGGCGTTTGCTCAAATAGGGGTCTCTCCTGGTTTTGACGATGAGCTCTCAGCAAGTATTTGTGGAATGAGTGAATGAACTTGAAGCCTCCGTGCCCCTTCCTTCCTTCCTTCCTTCCTTCCTTCCTTCCTTCCTTCCTTCCTTCCTTCCTTCCTTCCTTCCTTCTTCCTTCCTTCTTTCCTTCCCTTTCTTTTTCTCTCGAGACAGAGTCTTGCTCTGTTGCCTAGGCTGCAGTGCAGTGGCACAATCTCGGCTCACTGCAACCTCTGCCTTCTGGGTTCAAGTCATTCTCCTACCTCAGCCTCCCGAGTAGCTGGGACTACAGGCTGCACCACCACACCCGGCTAATTTTTGTATTTTTAGTAGAGACGAGGTTTCATCATGTTGGCCAGGCTGGTCTTGAACTCCTGACCTCAGGTGATCCACCCTCCTCTGCCTCCCAAAGTGTTGAGATTACAGGCATGAGCCACCGTGCCCGGCTGCTCTGTGTTCTTTTCATAGCTGACTTAGCTTTGGAATGAAAGCAAATGGCAGGTCCTCACTGGGCCCTCATCAGGGTAGGCAAACTTCCCCTGTCAAGGGCCAGGGAGTAAATATTGAGGCTCTTGGGGCAAAAGGGCCTCGGTAGTGACTTCCCAATCCTGCCATTGTAGTGCAGAAGCCCCCAGGGACAACACAGAAAAGAATGCCTGCGGCTGGCTGCCTCCCAGCCCAGCTTTACCCATGGACCCTGACATTTGGATTTCGCGATAATTTCCACATATCATGGAATATTATTTGTCTTTTGTTTCTTTTTTTCTTCTAACCATTTAAAAATGTGAAACCCATTCTTAGCTTGGAGGCCTGCACACAGAGGCAGCAGCCTGGATTTGCCCCGCAGGGTGGTGTCCACCACCCCACCTCTGCCTTGTAGGCCAAGGGTACTCATTCCCACTCATTTCTACAAATACTACAAATCTGTACCAAACACCTGACCAGCACTTTTCAAAAACATGCCAGGGTCTGACGGGCAAGGAAAGACGGAGAAACTCTTATAGACCAGAAGAGACGGAACCATGGCAGCTAAATGCAGTGTGGACACCTGTACCCATTCCCGAAACAGAAAAAGGACATGAGTAGGAAAACCGGTGAAATCCAACTCAAGCCTGTGGTTTAGTTAATAGTGTTGCACCAACGTTAATTTCTGAGTTTTGGGCGGGGCGCAGTGGCTTATGCCTGTCTTCACAGCACTTTGGGAAGCCGAGCTGGGAGGATCACTTGAGCCCAGGAGTTCAAGACCTGCCTGGGCAACATAGGGAGATCCTGTCTCTACAAAACATTTTTTTTTTTTTTTAATTAGCTGGGCATGGTGGAGCATGCCTCTGGTCTCAGCTACTTGGGAGGCTGAGGCTGGAGGATCTCTTGAGTCTGGGAGATGGAGGCTGCAGTGAGCCGTGATTGCACCACTGCACTTGAGCCTGGGTGACAGAGCGAGGTCCTGTCTCAAAACAAACCGGCCGGGCGAGGTAGCTCATGCCTTAATCCCAGCATTTTGGGAGGCAGAGTTGGGCAGATCACAAGGTCAGGGGTTTGAGACCAGCCTGGACAACCCTGGTCTTGATGGTGAAACCCCATCTCTACTAAAAATACAAAAAAATTAGCCAGTCTTGGTGGCAGCCATCTGTAATTCCAGCTACTCGGGAGACTGAGGCAGGAGAACAACTTGAACCAGGGAGTTGGAGGTTGCAGTGAGCAAAGATCACACCACCGCACTGCAGCTCGCGAAAGAGCAAGACTCTGTCTCAAAAAAAAAAAAAAAAAAAAAAAGAAAAGAAAGAAACCCACAAAATCTCTGAGTTTTGGTCAGTGTATCATGGTTGTGTAAGATGTTCACATTAGGAAAATTGGGTGAGGGGTCCAGGGAACATGGCACTGTCTTGGCAAGCCTAAAATTATTTCAAAATAAACTTTTAAAAAATGAAATCTGTGGCCCCCTTCTGACTCAGTCACCCCCGAATCATTTCCACAATCTGCCCTGTTCCTTTCAATT